CACCAATAAAACATCAATAAAATATTAGTCACATTTATTTTATTGCACATACTTCTACATCTGACTTTACTTCACTACCAGTGATGTAGTTGTGATTTTATTAAAGAGAGATAAAGTGTAATTTTGGTAAAAAGTTTTAAATAAGTTCATTTTTGATGTCTTCAGGATTTCATAATATGGAATTTAAAATAAAATTTTTTTAGTTACATTTAACATCTATAGTTGTAGACAACTTTTAATTATAAATAAGAAATTAATTAATTTATGTTTTCGTAATGTTTAAATAATGTTTTCGTAGTTTAAAAACCATCAGTTCCCTTTGCATTTCACTCTTTTTCCTTAAAAGTGTAGAAATATCTTTAACGTTATTTACTAATCTAACTAATATAATTGAACATTAAAAATGTTCTCATTAGAAAGCAAAGTAACTTTATTATTAGTATATACTTTGGACCAGTAATTATATTACTCATTTCTCTCTTCTTCTTTCTCTCCTCTTCTCTCTTCTTCTTTCTTCATTCTTCTCTCTCTCCTCTTCTCTCTCTCTCTTCTTCTCTCTTCTGTTCTCTTCGTTTTTGTTCTCTGTTTTCTCTTGTCTCTTTCTCTTTTTCTCTCGCTCTCTCTTTCTCTCTTAATATCCCTCTCCCTCTCTGTCACTCTCCTTCTATATACATATATGAACAACTTAAGTATATAAACCACTAAATATTCAAAAATAGACAACACAAAAATAATACTTTATTTTTTCGCTTTCTATCTAGCTACTCCATTGTATACTCGATATCTATATAAATGACTAGTTATTTAAAGTACAACCTTAAACCAGTATTATCCTTTCTTCGTTATATCTGCCTCTCTTTAACTTCCCAAAACTATATTATTTAAGTATAAAAAACAGAAACTATTATACCGTCGATCTCAAGTGAATACTACTTTCTCTCTCGCACTTCCCTTATCTACTCTATTATATACTCCCTGACTTCATAAATTACAAGTTATTGAATTCTACAACCTACTTTTTGTTCTATCTCTCTTTCTGCCTTTTTATCTCTTCCTCTCTAGCTACACACTATGCTTTTTAAGTATAGAAAACCATAAGTATTAAAGTGTCAATCTCACAAGAGTACTAAATTCTTCGTGTGCTCTCCTCTTAGTAACTCAATTGTATACTGCCTAATTACATAAATGATTATTTTCTAAAGATATAACATCAGCATAGTATTCTTCTTCTTCATTTTTTCTCTCGCTCTCTCTCTCTCTCTCTCTCTCTCTCTCTTTATCTACTTCTTTATTTTTATTTACCTATCTCTAATCTTCTTTTTTTCTTCTCTCTCTACCTCTATTTTATCCCTTCTAGCTGCGCCACACTATACTTTTCAAGTACAGAAACCACGAAATATTTATTATAGAGTTGATCTCTCAGAAGTACTGCCTTTCTTTTTACCCTTCTCCCCAACTACGGCACTGTAAATTTTAATAAATTAATACGAAATAATATTTAATAAGCTGTTGAACAATTATCACTTGCACTTTTAAAAAGCAAGCAAATTAACTAATAAAAAAAATTTGTAATAATAAAACAACTTCCCACAGCTTCTGCTTTTTGAAGTTGGCTTAAGATTTTGCAAAACCGTAAATTTCTATACACAAGACCTTAAGCGCCCACGGCAGAGATGTGCACATGAATTGCATTATTGAAAAGAACAGAAACAATTGAAACAAAAGTTATGACATTAAAAATTTATACATATCAATCCCTTCCCATGCCCCCCGCATAAGATGCGTAATTGGCAACGGCAGGCTTAATTGTCACAATTGTTGTTGCAATTTTATTGCGTGTGAGAATTTTTTCGTTTTCATTTTGAAATCCCAGCAGTCAAAGTCGAAATTGGCCTTGGAATGAATATATGAAACCCCAACGAAGAGTGTGAGTGAGTGTGAGTGTGAGAAGCTAACAGACAGTGTACGCAAATTACAGCGTCATAATTATATTGCATTGATAATTATGACATAAAGCTAAAAGCATATTAAAGCTCGATTTAAACGACAAACGTAATAACAGCAGCGTCAGCGTCGGCGTGTTAGGAAAGATTAAGAAAATCATATTTTAGTGTTTAATTGCAGTTGCAAATTTTAATAACTAAAATTGTTCTACAAATGAGGCGCGTAATGGAAAATGAAGAAAATTATATTTATTTTTTTTGTTTGTTTGTGCAAATAAAAAATAAATAACCACAACTGTGCTATAACCTTAACTGAGCAATTTTTGTCTCAAAGGTTAATAATACGAGTATCAAAGCGAATTTCGCATGCCTGTTAGCAACATTTTTTTATAGCATGCTATAAAAATGTTAATGCCATGTTATTTCTTAATTGTTTGTTTCTTCTCAATGTGTGCCTATGTTTTGCTTTAGTTTTACAGCAGTTTGGCGCTGTAATTTGTTGTTAGAATCGCTCACAGAGCGTGAAAAAAGCCACTTTGGCGGTCAGTGCTGTTCATAATGCGTTTCCGGCCAATGTTGGCAGTTCAAAGTTTGCTGTTGCATAGCAAGAAGACAAGGGCTTGTCTTGCCAATCTTAAGTTTGGTATTTTCAGTTTTGTTTATTTTATTTTTTTTTTCTTTTTGGAGTGTATTTTTTTTTAAAAGTTTTTTCTTTTTTTTTTGATTTTGCTAATAACAAATCATTTGTGCTAATTTTTTTTCAAAGTTTGTCTCTAAACGTGTGTTTGGTTTTATCAATTTTTTTTCATTATATGAATAAAATTCACCAAAAATTTCGTAATAACCACAAAAGACTGAGTTACAAAATATTCGAAATTTGATTTTAACAATAAATTTAAAATATAATATAAAAAAACACTGAAGAAATTTCTCTAAATGATAGACAGTTAAATTTTTACAAATTTAGTGTGGATTAGACCAATAGAGCAGCCCTCAAATGTAGTAAACTTCCAATTATTGATTAAAACCAGATTAGGATTTCCATAGTGAAAGCGATTTCCATTTTTCTCATGAGTATTTACTAATCTTCACTGAAAAAACTCTACTTTAAAATTCTGAATTTTTTAATTTTAATCTGTTTAATAATATCTATAAACAAGGTAATTAAAAAAGTTGTAGAATTTTAAATTAGATAAATATGGCACTAATCTTTTCTAAAATAATCGTTTAATTGCCTTAACATCATGAAATGAACTAAAGAAAATGTATGTGGTATGATCTAGAAATTCTATAATAAGAATTCCACACATTTCTCGCTTAAAATGCATACGAAGTAGTCAAAAGGACGCAAACAACCTCGGCGGACTACTTGACACCTAACAATTTTCCTTATTCCCATCTTAAGAACTATAAACGCAGATAGAACATATAGATGGCATCTATAAGAACGATTTTGTTTTATTAATTCTACAAAATATTCGAAGTAATAAAAAACTTCATAGCTGGAACCTTAAATTTTATGCAATTAAGTTATGTTACAAGTCTTTGAATATTTATTATAGAAGTAATTAGAAATGATGTAGAATTTTGATATAGAACATTAAATTGACACTAACATTTTCTATATAGCCGTCTAATTACCTGAGCATTATGATTAATAAACGTAAGAGTTGGTATATGGTTTGATCTATAAATACCAGTAGAAGACTTCCACATATCACTGGGATAATATGAGTTCGAAGAAATCAACGTACCTTAAGCACAACAAATTAACTAAATAATAATTAAAGAGAATGATACAAGATCGCTTGACATCAATGCTCAATCATTACTTCACTCAATGAGTCTTTTTAAGCACAATCTTCAATTACGAATATGCAACAGATCCTTTATAACGGCAGTGACCTTGCAAAGTTGAAAATGTGGATAATATCTAGATTGAACGTGAATGTTAAGAATTATGAACGCCATATCTTAAAAAAAATGTTGTGCCAAACTGAGTTGAACGAAGAAACGTGGTTCCGAAATCACCAAGGTCTACGCTTAACAGCCACGCAACGATTTCGACAAACAGATTCTTACTATAACAACAACAACAAGTAATTTCTTGACAAGAAACAACATTAGATTGCTAACAGAAAATTGTAGTAACACTAGCGATAAGAAGTAAAGGATATCTATATAAAATATTATTAGGCTATTGGATTGACAAACTGAAAATTTGTGGAAGACAGGCAAAACTAAGTGGGAATAATAGTGAGAAATAAAGTTCTAAGGTAATATGTAAAAAGGACTTCACTCTTATGACCCCACTCGTTTCTTAAAGTAGTGAAACGAAACTCCAGAACTTCTAACACTTACTTAAAAAACAATTAGTATAAATTATCTATTAATTAAATACTTATTTTATTTAAAATAAAAAGGAGTTTTTAAAAAATTATTTGTTATTGCCATCTAACAGCATTTATATATAGTATATGCAAAAAATGAGTAAATTGACGATAAGCAATTAAATTTATTTTACTTTTTTTTAGAAAAATGAAAAAAATTATGATTCATTAACAACAAATTTTACGTGAATAATATCAATAACTAAAATTTACTTAATCCGCAATAATATCATTTTAATTAAATTTTTAAATTGAGCTTATAGCGGAATTCGTATATTATATATATATATATTAATCCTGTTTTGTGAAATGTGCAAAATATTAAATATCGTAAAATTTATTTTATATTTCCTTATATGCCATTTTAGATCACTATACAGTCATACTAGGCAACTCAATTTATATCAATGTCAATAATATATAAAGCAATATATATTTTAATTATATTCTTTAAATAAAATGAGTTCACAATTCTCTATAAATGTAGTCGTGTATATATTTTCACAGTCTATTTTTTAAATATTAATATTCTTATAAAAATTTCAATAATAAATATATATTTTTTATATATTCCAAATTGATCTCTTAATATTTTTTTTTATAAAATTTCCAATTTATTAATGTTTTTTGTTTTTTTTTTTTAAATTTTAAATTTGCACCCACTCACCATTTTTATAAACGAAGCTTAGACAAATTTGGTAAATTCAATTCAATTTTATATCCACTGATTTATCGCAAGAAGAAAAAAACAAACAAACAAAACCTAAAAAACACAATTTTATTATTAATTTTAAATAATTTTAGTTCATTTTATAAGAATTTATAAATATTTATTAAATTTTATTAAATTTTGTACAGAATTTCACACACCAAATTGCTTTTTATTTAGTTCTAACCGTTATGATGCGTTTTAAATCGCATGCAAATCGTTTACACTCAGAAAAATAAGTTCACTTTAAAAAGTGTTTTAAGAGCTAGCCGCACAGCACTTACAGCTCTCGAGTATCGTTTTTTGTTTTTGCGAAGCGAACTCGAGCAGAATATAAAATTGATTAACAAATAATACGCCGGCGCATGCTGTATTTATAAGAAAGAAGAAGCAGCACATCACAGTACATCACAGCACAAATCGTTACGCATGCGTCAGAGCAAAGCTTAAGTGAGAACATTTTCGCTTTCGTTGAGCTTGTACGATATTAAGAAGGCAAAAAAAACTTGTTACGGCAAGTGTAACAAAGCGAATATACACGGTAAACAACAACAATAACAACAAATACAAAAATCAAAACAAACTCGAAAATAACAACAACAACATTGAAAGCATTGTAAAGAAGTTCAGTTCAGTTTTGGCAGCATGACAGCTATATAGCCATTTGGTGTTGCCAAAATGGAATGCGATCAATTGTGGTGAACTTGAAATTTTTCACCACAACAACTTGTTGTGTTTGTGGTAAGATGCGGGCCAAATCAAATGTTGTTAATATACATAAACATGTTTTTGGCATCTTCGTATTTCTGTGTGTGTGTATGCGAGTGTGTGTTACGAGTGCAGATGTGCATATTACAACATAAGAACAGTTTAGCTTCTTTTTTTAGGTGGCTTCGAAGTGTTTTCGCTTTCAAACATTTTTCAAAAGCGCTTCAGTTACTTAATTGTACTTGTAATTGCGGTTAAGTTGACCGCTTGACTTAAATACGAGTACAAATTCAACAAATTCAACTTAATGAGAAAAAAATATGTGAGAATGGCGCGTACACCTTTGTGCAGTTGTGCATTTAAATATTAAATTAGTCATTTTAATAAAAATTCATTTAAATTAAAAAAAAAATTATTTTTTTTTTACAAATTTTTTTTATTGGCTGTCTGACTTGTGGGCTAATTGAAAATCACATTTTAAACTTTAGTTACAGTGTATATATATTTTTTTAAATTATGATTCTTGTGCTACCTTATAAGATTATATTGATGAGTAAAAATTTATAATATAAAACAATTTATTTCAATTTTAATTGCTTTATTTTTTGCTGCGGTATGTAGAGAAGGTCGCCCAATGCATCAATTAATTTCTTCATTTAGCTAATAATTACCATGGAAGTGACATTGCACTCAGTACATATTTATTATGACAGTAATGATTATTAATGTGACAAAGAAGTTTATATAAGTACTCATTTATATTCGATGTTTGAGTGAAAATATATATAAATGTGATAAAATATACAAAATTATGATTTTAGAATGATGTTATACTCTTGTTAGTTTTTGTTTGTGGATAACACAGAATATATATATCTAGTGTAGGTAGGATTATGACCCTTTCGATTCCAGTCTTGCGAGTCCAAACGAAATTATTTTCGAGTAATTTAATACAAGTATTATTTCCAAGACCACTGCTGTTGGGTATTGACGAACAATACCGAAGGATACGATATATGTCAGCAAAAATTCAATTATTGAAAGATAAAATAAATTATTTTTGTTGTTGTGTTTACTACTGGTTCGGAAACGGTCGTCCAACGAATAACGTGTATACGAATTTGAAGCAGCGGAATCATTCCAAAAGTACGGGTATTGTGGAACTAGCAGTATTTCATTTAAACTGAACTTCGTTTATTCGGCTAGTGTATCAGGTATGACTACCAAGGCTCCGATCGGTCTTCAATTTTTGTTGCTCCAGATAGTCATTGTATAAGTGATTGAATTTAGAAGCATTGCAGTTATCAAGTCATTGTTGGGAAGAGTTTTTACGGCGGCGCTACAAAAATGATTGGAACCATTTACCTTCACAACCGAGGTTTTTAATTATTAACGCAAATATTGTAGTACTAATTGTCTCTGAAATAACGATTCAGGCAAGGCATTTTCAGGAATATACCTTTAAGGGCAATAAAATACCCCTTAATGTGTGCTTTTCTGATCGCGATAACCTTTAACGCATAAAACGTTTCAATAAGATGCTAATAAGAGATCATATTTAACTCATATAATAGGATAGTTTCGAATTAAAATCACCACTGCAAAAGTCATTTCATTAGTGAAGTTATTTCACTAAAATATCAGTTTTATTTTGGATTCCGTATTCTAAATTTAATATAGACTACTTATTATTGTATTGTATTTATTTTTTGGAAAATTCTTGTATAAAAAGGATTAACTTCACTTTCTTAGAAACCTATTAGCGTAGTAATTTTGTGAATTTTAATATACATTTACTCAACTGATTTTTAAGTCCCAATACTTAAGGTATTTTGATATTTGATCAATAAAAATTCTTTTAACTTTATTTATACCCACCTAATTAAGAAAGCAGAGTCGATAATAATAAAGCGCAGGATATATTAAATACAAATATTGTGTATTGAAATAATTAATTAACATTTTCCTTGATTAAAGTTTGACTAATAGTTATCGCCTTTCCAATACAATAAACTCATATCGTTATATGAGGCAATAAAGTCATATCATCACCAAACCTCAAACCTAATTTTTGAATACCAATAATATTCTACTGTATTATTTTATATAATAAGTATCAATGTAATAGATAAAAGACTTTTTATATCACTCTGATATATATTCTAAAATTCATTAAATTAAGTTTAGATATTTAACTCAATTATTACATTATGTTATCATAATATAGTAGGTGCGTAAGCAGAGATAATCTATTTTAGATGTTCAAAATAGATCAATTTGTTCACAACATTCTGAAAGCTCTTTTCTGCACAAAAGAACTTTCTCTCACAAATCTCAAATTGGAGTGTAGTGGAATTTTTATTACTCATTTAAGAGTAATGAAACATTTTTTTTAAGAAACTATTTTTATTAGTGACTTAATACTTAAAATTTTTGTGAGCTTGAAGGGACTGTGCTCAGTATCATTTTTAATATATTTTATCTCAATTTTGATTGAACACTATCAAAACTAGGTTTAAGCTTACAGTTATGAATTACGGAACTTATTAAAAATCATTTATCGAGGTAATTACAGTAATATAAACGTACTATAGGACTTTAAACCAGAATCTCTTGAAACAGTCCAGAAGGAATCTCATTTATCCATTTTATTTTTAATAAAAAACTTTTATAAAAGATACCTGTATAATGCAATTATTTTACGTCATAATTATTGAAATTCCAATATTTCTTTGTGTGACAAATTGGAAACAACTATCCATATTTATAAGTATGTATAATGTGCATATATTAGAAAATGAATCACTACATTGCATTGCAAGTAGTCTTAATCTACATTTAATTATTATCATTGTCGTTTCTAAGAATTGTTGAATAGAATTAAATATTACAAATTTACAATTAATACGTAATAAAAATCACAACCACTCATATTGATTTATGTATTTATAAGAATATCTAATAATGCTAAATATATAATTATGCATGAAGTATTAATTTTTCAAATATACAAATGTGTAATACTTATAAGCATAGAATTTAGTAGATAATCTGAACTATTTAAAATTTTAATCGTCAAATCTTATAAGATATTGTATACTTAAGCTTATTTAATTTCATAATTCGTATGTAAAATTTTATATATAATACTAATAACATATTTCATTTACAATGTAACATTAAAAAATATTAAATAATTTACGTGTATTTCCACTTTGGTTAAGTGGATTTACATAGTGCGTCTGAATACCCCTTCTATGTAATTGTAATTCATATTCTAAGTGCTTTGCCCGCTTTAAACGGTGCCTCACATAATTGGAGCAATCCTATTGCTACTCCTAGCTGTTAAAGCAATGTACCATTGTCCTATTTTCAGCCTTCAGAACGAACGAAATAATGCTTTCACCCAACCGCTTTCGCAGATTCTTGAGTCACAATATTTTTCTACTCCCCTGGCCCATATTCTCTGTCAATTTTACCTTATATAAACAATTTAAGCAGATCTATTGCAAGTTGATTGAAATATATATAACAATTGTAAACAACATATTCATTAACTACCAAATGACTGCTGTAAGTCTTTCGTCATTCTTTTTTTTATTTAAACATTCATTATTTATATGTCACCTTAATGTGGTGAGTGGGCTTAGTAGAGGTAACGATTTCTTGAACAATGTCGGCGGTACCGTAGCTACTGACAGAACCATCCTTGCCGGTAAGATTTTGAAGAAGCAATACAGTTAAACGCAATCCAGAACTTTTTCAGCGTCTATTTGACCATGCTAGGTGCGGCTGGAGCGAGTGTCTGTACTAAAATCAACCGGTTCGCTACATAACTGTGTTTTTATATTTGCGGTCTTTATACTCATTAAATATCTACCATATGCATGCATATCAAATGATGTTGAGGCATGCAAATAAACTCAAATGCGTATATGGCTATATGAAAATATGACTCCAACCAAGAAAATTCTAGAAATCCCACTGCTCTAGAACCAACCAGCACATCGGATATGGGGGTGCTAAATTCACGCCACAACAGTGCCGTTATTAATGAAACTTCTTTAGAGGCCCTATGGTCCACAGGTAATTTATATATGTCACAAATTCAATAATTAAAATAATATATAAAATAAATAAAATCGAGGTAAATAATTTCTTTTAAATGTGCAATTTTTGTTTTATATTGATTGTTGCAACATATATTATTTCCGTATTAAATTTAATTTGAACGTCAATATAACAGTAGTGATTTTTTTCCTTTAATAGAAACTGTGGTATTTATTACTAACTCTGAGCTTCAAATTTGGCAGGGCATGAGTTCAACCCTTGGTACTTAAAGTCCTAAAAAGAATAAAAATTATTTACGAATAATTAAATACAAGGAATAATTCCAGGACCACTGATTATGGGTAAACAGCTGTATGGTCAGCCAAAAATTTTATTAATTAAAATAATATAAATAAAATTTTTGTTGTTCATTACTTCTTAAAAATTCTCGATATTATTTCTACGAATAATAATACACCTTAGTTCTTAAGTACTTATCACAGTTTCCAGTTTGAAGCACTGTAGAAGTAAATTGCAAACTGTCTGTTTCTAAAAACGATGTAATTATTGTTGCTTCAAAATTAAAAAAA